ACTACTGGAGTGGTTATTACACTTCACGACCCTTTTACAAAAACTTGGACCGTGTTTTGGAGTCAGCCCTGAGGTTAGTTTTAAATATGTGACCTGTACCCCAGTTACCATAGTAACCAGTTACCATAGTAACCAGTTACCATAGCAACACTGACTGTGTAACGAGTGTGTTGTTACTGAGTGTGTAATGATTGCGCCTATCAGTATTAACCAGTGATCCAATTTTCCTAAACCAACAACAAGACAATTGACTTAACATTCCGTGAGTGTGGCTATATAGTCTGCTATATAGTCCTCTGTATACTGGGTGTGTGTTACCATGGTGTTACCATGGTAATTGCGCTCTATACTTTCAACAAATTACTCGTTTTCAGGAGGACGGAGATACTGTTTTCCTTTTACCGCTCAGATCTGAGAAAAGGAGCGTTTGTGATGGCTAGAAACACGTTGTCTTTGTTCCAACACCACGATGGTATTACTGGCACTGCCAAGACGCACGTTGTCAATGACTACGGGGCAAGGCATGTAGTAAAGTATAATTAATTAAGTGCTGTAACCCCGCTGTAATTGCAACAACCTGACGTCATGCTCTACCCTACTTACTACCATGGAGTGCTGTAACCCCGCTGTAATTGCAACAACCTGATGCTCTACCCTACTTACTACCATGATTCTGCCCAAGATGAGCAGTTATCTTGTATTTTGTATTTAGTGCGTAAATTGCGACTCGCGAGAGCGAAAATAGGTGTGGCCAGATAACTCATCAAACTCGATGTCTGATGACTTTTTTATGCTATATCCCACTAAATGTGATAATTCTGCACATTTTTATGGCCAAGTTGAGTTTCTTACTCCAATTAGAAGCGGAGTTATTTTGATTTTAAAGGGTGTGCGTGATCAATTGCACAAAACTGCACCATAGCCAAAATTTCAACCCAAGTCAAATTTGTTTCTGATGGGTCCCTTGAGCTATTCCAAGTCTCAAACCCCGGGTCGGAAGTTATATAGAATATCACCAACTATAGACGGGAATATTTTCAGATCCATATACATCCAATATACATTTATTTATTCTGTACTAGCTGTACTTCTACAGATAAAGGAAGTAGTATTATACTACTGTTGAGCACTCTGCCATTATCAACACCAACTGTTGAGCACTCTGCCATTATCAACACCAACTGTTGAGCACTCTGCCATTATCAACACCAACTGTTGAGCACTCTGCCATTATCAACACCAACTGTTGAGCACTCTGCCATTATCAACACCAACTATTGAGCACTCTGCCATTATCAACACCAACTGTTGAGCACTCTGCCATTATCAACACCAACTGTTGAGCACTCTGCCATTATCAACACCAACTGTTGAGCACTCTGCCATTATCAACACCAACTGTTGAGCACTCTGCCATTATCAACACCAACTGTTGAGCACTCTGCCATTATCAACACCAACTGTTGAGCACTCTGCCATTATCAACACCAACTGTTGAGCACTCTGCCATTATCAACACCAACTGTTGAGCACTCTGCCATTATCAACACCAACTGTTGAGCACTCTGCCATTATCAACACCAACTGTTGAGCACTCTGCCATTATCAACACCAACTGTTGAGAACTCTGCCATTATCAACACCAACTGTTGAGCACTCTGCCATTATCAACACCAACTGTTGAGCACTCTGCCATTATCAACACAAACTGTTGAGCACTCTGCCATTATCAACACAAACTGTTGAGCACTCTGCCATTATCAACACCAACTGTTGAGAACTCTGCCATTATCAACACCAACTGTTGAGCACTCTGCCATTATCAACACCAACTGTTGAGCACTCTGCCATTATCAACACCAACTGTTGAGCACTCTGCCATTATCAACACCAACTGTTGAGCACTCTGCCATTATCAACACCAACTGTTGAGCACTCTGCCATTATCAACACCAACTGTTGAGCACTCTGCCATTATCAACACCAACTGTTGAGCACTCTGCCATTATCAACACCAACTGTTGAGCACTCTGCCATTATCAACACCAACTGTTGAGCACTCTGCCATTATCAACACCAACTGTTGAGCACTCTGCCATTATCAACACCAACTGTTGAGCACTCTGCCATTATCAACACCAACTGTTGAGCACTCTGCCATTATCAACACCAACTGTTGAGCACTCTGCCATTATCAACACCAACTGTTGAGCACTCTGCCATTATCAACACCAACTGTTGAGCACTCTGCCATTATCAACACCAACTGTTGAGCACTCTGCCATTATCAACACAAACTGTTGAGCACTCTGCCATTATCAACACCAACTGTTGAGCACTCTGCCATTATCAACACCAACTGTTGAGCACTCTGCCATTATCAACACCAACTGTTGAGCACTCTGCCATTATCAACACAACTGTTGAGCACTCTGCCATTATCAACACCAACTGTTGAGCACTCTGCCATTATCAACACCAACTGTTGAGCACTCTGCCATTATCAACACCAACTGTTGAGCACTCTGCCATTATCAACACCAACTGTTGAGCACTCTGCCATTATCAACACCAACTGTTGAGCACTCTGCCATTATCAACACCAACTGTTGAGCACTCTGCCATTATCAACACCAACTGTTGAGCACTCTGCCATTATCAACACCAACTGTTGAGCACTCTGCCATTATCAACACCAACTGTTGAGCACTCTGCCATTATCAACACCAACTGTTGAGCACTCTGCCATTATCAACACCAACTGTTGAGCACTCTGCCATTATCAACACCAACTGTTGAGCACTCTGCCATTATCAACACCAACTGTTGAGCACTCTGCCATTATCAACACCAACTGTTGAGCACTCTGCCATTATCAACACCAACTGTTGAGCACTCTGCCATTATCAACACCAACTGTTGAGCACTCTGCCATTATCAACACCAACTGTTGAGCACTCTGCCATTATCAACACCAACTGTTGAGCACTCTGCCATTATCAACACCAACTGTTGAGAACTCTGCCATTATCAACACCAACTGTTGAGCACTCTGCCATTATCAACACCAACTGTTGAGCACTCTGCCATTATCAACACAACTGTTGAGCACTCTGCCATTATCAACACCAACTGTTGAGCACTCTGCCATTATCAACACCAACTGTTGAGCACTCTGCCATTATCAACACCAACTGTTGAGCACTCTGCCATTATCAACACCAACTGTTGAGCACTCTGCCATTATCAACACCAACTGTTGAGCACTCTGCCATTATCAACACCAACTGTTGAGCACTCTGCCATTATCAACACCAACTGTTGAGCACTCTGCCATTATCAACACCAACTATTGAGCACTCTGCCATTATCAACACCAACTGTTGAGCACTCTGCCATTATCAACACCAACTGTTGAGCACTCTGCCATTATCAACACCAACTGTTGAGCACTCTGCCATTATCAACACCAACTGTTGAGCACTCTGCCATTATCAACACCAACTGTTGAGAACTCTGCCATTATCAACACCAACTGTTGAGCACTCTGCCATTATCAACACCAACTATTGAGCACTCTGCCATTATCAACACCAACTGTTGAGCACTCTGCCATTATCAACACCAACTGTTGAGCACTCTGCCATTATCAACACCAACTGTTGAGCACTCTGCCATTATCAACACCAACTGTTGAGCACTCTGCCATTATCAACACCAACTGTTGAGAACTCTGCCATTATCAACACCAACTGTTGAGCACTCTGCCATTATCAACACCAACTGTTGAGCACTCTGCCATTATCAACACAAACTGTTGAGCACTCTGCCATTATCAACACCAACTGTTGAGCACTCTGCCATTATCAACACCAACTGTTGAGCACTCTGCCATTATCAACACCAACTGTTGAGCACTCTGCCATTATCAACACCAACTGTTGAGCACTCTGCCATTATCAACACCAACTGTTGAGCACTCTGCCATTATCAACACCAACTGTTGAGCACTCTGCCATTATCAACACCAACTGTTGAGCACTCTGCCATTATCAACACCAACTATTGAGCACTCTGCCATTATCAACACCAACTGTTGAGCACTCTGCCATTATCAACACCAACTGTTGAGCACTCTGCCATTATCAACACCAACTGTTGAGCACTCTGCCATTATCAACACCAACTGTTGAGCACTCTGCCATTATCAACACCAACTGTTGAGCAATCTGCCATTATCAACACCAACTGTTGAGCACTCTGCCATTATCAACACCAACTGTTGAGCACTCTGCCATTATCAACACCAACTGTGAAGACCAAGATTCTTTAAATCCAGCAATACACCACCCCAACACCCCGACCTACAATATTTCGAATCAGAATTGTATGATCTTATTGGCAGTTCTCAAAGTCTGAAACATTTCTCCATCCCTTTCGATCTGCAGTTAATCTTCTCATACAATCAATCGTGAGTCCATTCCGATCCAATCTCTGCTCAGCATCCTCAATAAATACATCATTTAAGCTCTTCCTAGGCCTGCCTCTTGATCTCTTCCCATGCTTTGGTTTCCATTCAAGTAGATAGTTGGGTAACCGATCTTCAGGCATTCTACTGACATGTCCAAATCAACCACCAGTGGGGTACCATATACCATATACCCCACTGTATATATCTCTAAACAAGTCATCTCCCAACAGAGTAACTTATCGATCACTATTTCCGCACGGACCTAACTCTTGCACTACTTGGATCAGAACTTCTGAGACATTACGTACAATTCTGAGAAGAAAACATCTGCTGAGTTGGACTTTCTGTACCAAACTGTACTGCAGAATGTTAAAATGGCTCACTAAATGGAAGGCGCGATAATTTGAACATTGTGGTAAGTTAAGTTTGTATACAGCGACGGTGACAAGAATCATGCGCGCATCTTGTGTCGTGGTAAGAAACCAGCATTGTAACTTTTATTTGAAGTGACCAACTATAACTGTTTCAGGTTAGTAACAACTACTGTTTCAGGTTGTACAACGCTTATAAGACCTGCACCGACCTGACAATATTAGCTATACAGTATCTGCTGAAAGAAAGAACCACTTTTTCCCCGACTAGCAGTCGACTTGCTTTCAACACGGTTGAAAAGTACGACGTTTTGGGGGGGCCCAGTGAGTTGGTCCTTGCTAACACTCTATCCAGAGACGCACTCTCCTTAATAATTGTCGCCGTCAATAACTCCCAGCAACTTCAAGTAAGAAAAGGAATTAACATTCACCCAACAGTACCTAGTGTTATTTGTTTCCACTTTCCGCCTTTTTTGAATGCTATTTTATTAACAGAAATTAGACAATTTTTTTGTTTTTCCCGTCGAGCAATTTGTTAAGCAGCTGACCTCCCTCCTGCTGCAACCTCCCCCTGCTGTAACCCCTCCTGCTGCCACCCCTCCTGCTGTAACCCCCTCCTGCTGCCACCCCTCCTGCTGCCACCCCTCCTGCTGTAACCCCTCCTGCTGTAACCCCCCTCCTGCTGTAACCCCTCCTGCTGCCACCCCTCCTGCTGTAACCCCCTCCTGCTGCCACCCCCTCCTGCTGTAACCCCCTCCTGCTGTAACCCCTCCTGCTGTCACCCCATCCTGCTGCCACCCCTCCTGCTGCCACCCCTCCTGCTGCCACCTCTCCTGCTGTAACCCCCCTCCTGATGTAACCCCCTCCTGCTGTAACCCCCTCCTGCTGCCACCCCCTCCTGCTGTAACCCCCTCCTGCTGCCACCCCCCTCCTGCTGTAACCCCCTCCTGCTGTCACCCCCTCCTGCTGTAACCCCTCCTGCTGTCACCCCCTCCTGCTGTAACCCCTCCTGCTGCCACCCCTCCTGCTGTAACCCCTCCTGCTGCCACCCCTCCTGCTGTAACCCCCTGCTGATGTAACCCCCCTCCTGATGTAACCCCTCCTGCTGCCACCCCTCCTGCTGTAACCCCCTCCTGCTGCCACCCCCTCCTGCTGCCACCCCTCCTGCTGTAACCCCCTCCTGCTGTAACCCCCTCCTGCTGTAACCCCTCCTGCTGCCACCCCTCCTGCTGTAACCCCCCTCCTGCTGTAACTCCCTCCTGCTGTAACTCCCTCCTGCTGCCACCCCTCCTGCTGTAACCCCCCTCCTGATGTAACCCCCCTCCTGATGTAACCCCTCCTGCTGCCACCCCTCCTGCTGCCACCCCTCCTGCTGTAACCCCTCCTGCTGTAACCCCTCCTGCTGCCACCCCCTCCTGCTGCCACCCCTCCTGCTGTAACCCCTCCTGCTGTCACCCCCTCCTGCTGTAACCCCTCCTGCTGCCACCCCTCCTGCTGTAACCCCCCTCCTGCTGTAACCCCTCCTGCTGTAACCCCTCCTGCTGCCACCCCTCCTGCTGTAACCCCCCTCCTGATGTAACCCCCCTCCTGATATAACCCCTCCTGCTGCCACCCCTCCTGATGTAACCCCCTCCTGCTGTAACCCTCTCCTGCTGCCACCCCTCCTGCTGCCACCCCTCCTGCTGTAACCCCCTGCTGATGTAACCCCCCTCCTGATGTAACCCCTCCTGATGTAACCCCTCCTGCTGCCACCCCTCCTGCTGTGACCCCCTCCTGCTGCCACCCCTCCTGCTGTAACCCCCTCCTGCTGTCACCCCTCCTGCTGTAACCCCCCTCCTGCTGTAACCCCCCTCCTGCTGTAAACCCTCCTGCTGCCACCCCTCCTGCTGTAACCCCCCTCCTGATGTAACCCCCTCCTGCTGCCACCCCTCCTGCTGTAACCCCCCTCCTGATGTAACCATCTCTCGCTGCCACCCCCTCCTGCTGTAACCCCCTCCTGCTGTAACCCCTCCTGCTGCCACCCCTCCTGCTGCCACCCCCTCCTGCTGTAACCCCCTCCTGCTGCCGCCCCTCCTGCTGCCACCCCCTCCTGCTGTAACCCCCTCCTGCTGTAACCCCCCTCCTGCTGTAACCCCTCCTGCTGCCACCCCTCCTGCTGTAACCCCCCTCCTGCTGCCACCCCCTCCTGCTGTAAACCCTCCTGCTGTAACCCCCTCCTGCTGTAACCCCTCCTGCTGCCACCCCTCCTGCTGTAACCCCTCCTGCTGTAACTCCCCTCCTGCTGCCACCCCTCCTGCTGTAACTCCCCTCCTGCTGCCACCCCTCCTGCTGTAACCCCTCCTGCTGTAACTCCCCTCCTGCTGCCACCCCTCCTGCTGCAACCTCCCCCTGCTGTAACCCCTCCTGCTGCCACCCCTCCTGCTGTAACCCCCTCCTGCTGTAACCCCTCCTGATGTAACCCCTCCTGCTGTAACCCCCTCCTGCTGTAACCCCCCTCCTGCTGTAACCCCCTCCTGCTGCAACCCCTCCTGCTGTAACCCCCCTCCTGCTGTAACTCCCTCCTGCTGCCACCCCTCCTGCTGTAACTCCCTCCTGCTGCCACCCCTCCTGCTGTAACCCCCTCCTATTTATTCTGCACAGGTGACAGGTTTAGAGGGAGCAGTGTTACCACAACAGTCTGAGCCTCGTGTGGAATACGGAGAGGTACACTACAATTCTAAATACCTGGTGTTCCTTGCTGACACGCCCTCTGTCTCTATACAAACGTACGTAACCATAGCAACACGCCCTCCGTCTCTATACAAACGTACGTAACCATAGCAACACGCCCTCCGTCTCTATACAAACGTACGTTACCATAGCAACACGCCCTCCGTCTCTATACAAACGTACGTTACCATAGCAACACGCCCTCTGTCTCTATACAAACGTACGTAACCATAGCAACACGCCCTCCGTCTCTATACAAACGTACGTAACCATAGCAACACGCCCTCCGTCTCTATACAAACGTACGTTACCATAGCAACACGCCCTCCGTCTCTATACAAACGTACGTAACCATAGCAACACGCCCTCCGTCTCTATACAAACGTACGTTACCAGAGCAACACGCCCTCCGTCTCTATACAAACGTACGTGCTAACTAGACACGCCCTCCGTCTCTATACAAACGTACGTGCTAACTTCCCAATTATTCGAATACAATTGTTCCAAAACCCAAAACATTGAGTGGACCGTCGTTATAGTACTACTATTACGACGACTCAATTTTCCCCGATCCATGCCTCATGTGCCGACAAGGGTTAGCGAGCGTGCTAAATCACTCTACAGTCGATCTTCGAGATTGTTCTAATAGGGCCCCTGATGGTTGTAACCAACTTCAACCGATGTATTTTCGGATGCTGATTCCGAATCACCCCCCATGACATAGGGTTAAAATGCTCTCCTGACGAGATATTGGCGAAAAACTGTATCGATCACCCGGAGGCCTAAAACATTTTTTGAAGATTGTGGTCACTAAACGTACGCATCCACAGAAATTCTAAGGAACAATATTCTTTTTTAAGACCATTTTGTGGGTAAAATTTTTGAATTTTTCATCTTACTAAGCCTTGATTGATATGACGATTTTAACCCTTCGAGATCCTTGCTCGAAGGGTTCGCATCGATCTGCGAAGATAAATGCAAAGCAAAAATGATAGTTCGCGCGGCGCGTCGAAGTCCTCCAAATCAAGCATCAAGATGGAAAAAATGAACCATGAAAGTCGAAGCACGGTCGCAACGGTAGCTTTTGACCTCTTTCTGCACTTTCTGCAGTTGGAATTTGGTGGATTTGTGATTAATATCAATATGGACACTGAAAACGTAAATTTTTCCTCACTGGGAAATTTTCGAGAGCAGGCAAAATGTTTTCTAAAGCAAGCATTGCCTTCTTTTGCCTTAGGCTGGCTACGTCACTGGTTATTTATTTACTAACAGATGATCCCTCAGTTACAAAATAGTGCCAGCGAGCTCCCCGATCACAAGGGCATCGCTAGACGTTTACAACTACGAGCTGGCACCTGAGTTTCACGACTCTTACCACAGCAGGATCCACTCTGAGGCTCATTGCAAAGATATTGTTCTCGGGACGAACAAACTCAGCATTGTCTTGGACTGCAGGACGGGTGGGTCACATGTTGTGTATTACAAGTCACGTGTTGTTTATATAAGTTAACTTTTAAGGTAATTAATAAGTACTAACCTGCTCATATATATAGGGCGGCTATTACAACACTTGAAGGAAGGAGTGGTAACGAGAATGGAGCAGGAGATACTGCTGTACAACAATACTGCTGGTGCTTACCTCTTCTTACCTAACGGCCCCCCTGCTCAACAGGGTGAGTACTTGTCGAGTAGCAGGGTGAGTACTTGTTGAGTAGCAGGGTAAGTACTTGTTGAGTAGCAGGGTGAGTACTTGTTGAGCAGCAGGGTAAGTACTTGTTGAGTAGCAGGGTGAGTACTTGTTGAGCAGCAGGGTGAGTACTTGTTGAGCAGCAGGGTGAGTACTTGTTGAGTAGCAGGGTGAGTACTTGTTGAGCAGCAGGGTGAGTACTTGTTGAGTAGCAGGGTAAGTACTTGTTGAGTAGCAGGGTGAGTACTTGTTGAGCAGCAGGGTGAGTACTTGTTGAGTAGCAGGGTGAGTACTTGTTGAGCAGCAGGGTGAGTACTTGTTGAGTAGCAGGGTGAGTACTTGTTGAGCAGCAGGGTGAGTACTTGTTGAGTAGCAGGGTGAGTACTTGTTGAGTAGCAGGGTGAGTACTTGTTGAGTAGCAGGGTGAATACTTGTTGAGTAGCAGGGTGAGTACTTGTTGAGTAGCAGGATGAGTACTTGTTGAGCAGCAGGGTGAGTACTTGTTGAGCAGCAGGGTGAGTACTTGTTGAGTAGCAGGGTGAGTACTTGTTGAGTAGCAGGGTGAGTACTTGTTGATTAGCAGGGTGAGTACTTGTTGAGTAGCAGGGTGAGTACTTGTTGAGTAGCAGGGTGAGTACTTGTTGAGTAGCAGGGTGAGTACTTGTTGAGTAGCAGGGTGAGTACTTGTTGAGTAGCAGGGTGAGTACTTGTTGAGTAGCAGGGTGAGTACTTGTTGAGTAGCAGGGTGAATACTTGTTGAGCAGCAGGGTGAGTACTTGTTGAGTAGCAGGGTGAGTACTTGTCGAGTAGCAGGGTGAGTACTTGTTGAGAAGAAGGATGAGTACTTGTTGAGTAGCAGGGTGAGTACTTGTTGAGTAGCAGGGTGAGTACTTGTTGAGTAGCAGGGTGAGTACTTGTTGAGTAGCAGGGTGAGTACTTGTTGAGTAGCAGGTTGAGTACTTGTTGAGTAGCAGGGTGAGTACTTGTTGAGTAGCAGGTTGAGTACTTGTTGAGTAGCAGGGTGAGTACTTGTTGAGTAGCAGGGTGAGTACTTGTCGAGTAGCAGGGTGAGTACTTGTTGAGTAGCAGGGTGAGTACTTGTTGAGTAGCAGGTTGAGTACTTGTTGAGTAGCAGTGTGAGTACTTGTTGAGTAGCAGGGTGAGTACTTATTGAGTAGCAGGGTGAGTACTTGTTGAGTAGCAGTACTTATATCCTGTTTGTTGCAGTTGTAGAGACGTCTCGACCTCGAATTGTGGTAATGAAGGGACCTGTAAGACACAAGGCAGTTGTGAAGTATGACAGAAACATCGTCATCAGCTACATCGTGAACCTATTGGGAGGTATGTTAATTAAGAGACCTGCAAAATCAAATCAGTTTTTAAAATGCCTGTAAACACTTTTAAAATTTTTGGCAGGACTGCCGAAAGCTGCATCCTGTCCAAATTCTGTTAGCAGATGGGTATTAATGGCGAACATGTCGCCGTAGGCGAAAATTGTTTTGAAGATTTTGCTCATGCAAAAAGCCTAGCTGAGCAATTTGGCATTATAGAGATAATTTTCAAACACAGTTTCAAGAACGATTCATATAATACGATATTAAATGCATATTAGAGCCATGCCAGCAGCAGCTCTTGCTAATTAAGTGTGATTCGAAAAAGGGATACATAGTGTATTCTTTGGAAGAATTTCAGAAAGTTTGCTTTCAGGATTGAAATCTAGCAATGTGAATTGATAAATCAAGCAAGATTTTGGCTTTGTTGTGCCAATTGAGGGGTCAAGTCCTTACAGTAATAGCCGATAGGTCTCAAAAAGGGTGCAAAGAGGGGGGGGGGCATATTAAAGTATATTCCCGCCCTCAAATCGGGAAAAACCTACATTTTAATATACTTGAATTTGACCAAAACCCATAATCATGGGTAGAGTGTACCGCTGCCAGTGTCTCTCTTTTCCAAACAAAAGGAAATGATATTAATTTGAATAACCGTCCGAAAATGCAAATTGATACCGAGAATGAAATCGGTCGCTCGCTTTTTCCATTCGATCACGGCTTACGAATTGTAATATAAAGCTTATTGATTGGAAAAAGCGAGCGACCGATTTCATTCTCGGTATCAATTTGCATTTTCGGACGGTTATTCAAATTAATATCATTTCCTTTTGTTTGGAAAAGAGAGACACTGGCAGCGGTACACTCTACCCATGATTATGGGTTTTGGTCAAATATCATCTCTTTTTGATTATAATGTCAAGATAATTTACAAAGCCGAAATGTAAACTCATAACTTCATTAATATTTATATTAATAATTAGGAGGTAATTTCATCAATTTCGAAATTTTACCTGACTGAATATGGCACTTTTTACTTATTCAAGTTGGCATTAAATTCATATATAATGCCATTTAAATATCGTAGGAAAGCAGATTTTATTCGAAATCACGAATGAGCAAAATTCTCACCTTTCGCACGTGCAAACTTTGAGCGGACGTTGCGTGCGGATACAATATTGAATCACCGTAAATTTTTGCATAGCAGTATTTTATATATAGTTTAATAAGCATGCAAAGTTTCAGAAGATTTCATATAGAACTTGGATCACAACGAGACTCCAAAGTTGATAAAAATGGTGAAAACAGCAATTTTCAGTAATTTTAGCAATTTTCTATCAAACTGGGTGTGTCCCCACGTGTGCAACTTTTTGATTTTCAACTTTTAAACTAGCCTATAACACAATTTAGACCTTTAAAAAGCAAAATTGAGCTCCACAACCCAAGGGATGGCCCAACACCAGAGAATACTAATTCACAACTTTTGTGTTTTTATAAAATTATTCTTCAAAAAAGCACTTACTTCAATAGCGAATATCTTTATGAAGGAGCAAAGTAAGAAACTATTCCGGTAGATTTTCAGAATGCTTGAACAATTATCTAAGATGAAAATGTCCTCAAGTTTTGAATAAAATTACTCCTTAATGGTTTAAAATCGATTTGAAAAGTTGTTACTTTGTCAAAAATCAAGTTTTAAAAACACCTAATTTGATGACGTCATCAAGTGATGATGATGAAGATAAATTATTTTTTGATATAATGTAAACTAAAGTATAAACAATTATCTTTAAAACCTGTGGTTCGAAATGACTGTATCTTTTATACTTTTGAATCTACGGACACTTAAATGTAGGCTACAATTGACTTCAAAAGCGTCTATATATATATATATATACTTCACGACAATCTGTTGTAAAACAGGGGTTCCAGAAAACCCACTTCCCGATACTCCTGAAACATGCAATTTTTTTTACAGTCGATTTGGACAAGGTCTAGACGCCGTGCAAAGTTTCAGATCTCTAACTCAATTTTAACATGGTTTTTAAGGCACCTGAATATGGCGATTTTGGGTTTTTTACCTAATTTCGTATAACATGCTGGCGCGTATTTTGCGCAAATTTCTTAAAAACCTCCACATAACTATTTCTTATTCCTGTCATCTTTAACATTGAATTAGAATGTTTTGAACTTAAATTTACCTGCTGAACTACTTTCGATGAGTCTTAATGCCTAGTATTTCGGGGTAGGGTGGTAGTTATTTGTTGATACATGTTTCGTATCCGCGAAAGTGCATGCAACGTATGTCAAGTTATTTGTTTTTAGTATTACTTAATGGGGGGGGGGGGGGGGGGGAATTAGCCTTGAAGTTTATTGAATCTTCATTGCGAGTACAGCTGCTTTGGGTAGTTTTTCTTATTCTATTACAATTGTAATGAATGGGGAAAAGCGATCGACCGATTTCATTTCGGTTTCATTTTGCATTTTAGAACGAGTCAATCAAGTTATATCATTTCCTTTGTTGGGAAAGAGAGACCATGCCAGCTGTCCACTCTACCCTTGTTATGGGTTTTGGTTCAATTATCATCTCTTTTTGATTATAATATCAGGATATTTCAATGCCGAAATGTAAAACTCATAACTTCATTTTTTCAATTTATATCAGTAATATGAGGTAATTTCATCGATTTCGAAAATTTTACATGACTGAATATGGCACTTTTACTCATTCAAGTTGGCATTAAATTCATATATAATGCCATTTATATATCGTGGGGAAAGGCAGAATTTATTCGAATCTCGAATGAGCAAAATTCTCCACCTTTCGCACGTGCAACTTTGAGCGGAGTTGCGTGGGCATACAATATTGAATCACGGTAAAAATTTTTGCATAGCAGTATTTTATTATTTTTTTACATATTTGATTGACCGTTCTTCAAAGCAAACATGATACCGAGAATGAAAACGGTCGCTCCGCTTTTCCCATTCATCACGGCTTACGCATAGAAATAAGTTATCGATTTGATTACATCAATCAGATTGCTGTAAAAACTTTTGGGTTGCGTTCGGGTCGATACCTGTATTTGGGGTAAGGGTGGTAGTGATTTGTTTAAACATGTTTCGTATCCGCGAAAGTGGCATGCAACGTATGTCAAGTTATTTGTTTTTAGTATTACTTAATTGAATTGCTGAAGTTTATTGAATCTTCATAGCCGGAGTTACAGCTGCCTTTGGGTAGTTTTTCTTAATCTATACAATTGTAAATGAAGGGGAAAAGCGAGAAGCGACCGATTTTTCATTATCGTATCATTTTGCATTTGAGAACGGTCAATCAAAAGTAAATATCATTTCCTTTTGTTTGGGAAAGAGAGACCCTGACAGGGTCCACCTCTACCCATGATTATGGGTTTTGGTCAAATATCATCTCTTTTTGATTATAATTTCAGGATAATTTACAAAGCCGAAATGTAAATTCATAACTTCATTCATATATTATTAATTAATATGAAGGTAATTTCATCGATTTCCGAAATTTTACCTGACTGAATATGGCACTTTTTACATTCAAGTTTGGCATTAAATTCAGTATAATGCCATTTAATTCGTGGAAAGCAGAAATTATTCGAAATCACGAAGCGCGAAATTCTCACCTTTCGCACTGCAACTTGAGCGGACGTGCGTGCGCAGACAATTTGACACACGGTAAAATTTTTGCATAGCAGTATTTTATATCTTTTTTACATATTTGATTGGACGTTTCAAATGCAAAATGATACCGAGATTGAAATCGGTCGCTCGCTTTTCCCATTCATTCACGGCCTAACGAATAGTAATAAGTTTTCGATTGATTACATCAATCAGATGCTGTACCAAACTCTTTGGGTTGCGTTCGGGTCGATACCTAGTATTTCGGGGTAAGGGTGGTAGTTATTTGTTGATACATGTTTCGTATCCCGCGAAAAGTGGCATGCAACGTATGTCAAGTTATTTGTTTTTAGTATTACTTATTGAAATTAGCTGATGTTTATTGAATCTTCCTTGCCGAGTACAGCTGCCTTTGGGTAGTTTTTCTTAAATCTATTACAATTGTAAATGAATGGAAAAGCGAGAGCCGACGCCGATGTCATTCTCGGTATCATTTTGCATTTGAGAACGTCAATCCAAAGTAATATCATTTCCTGTTTGTTTGGGGAAAGAGGACACTGACAGCGGGTCCACACTAACCATGATTATGGGTTTTGGTCAAATTATCATTCTTTTTGATTATAATGTAGGGTATTATAAAGTCGAATATTAAAAACTGATTCTTCATTAATAAGGAGGGAGAGTTTCAAAACGATTTCGAATATCTATCCTTTAAAAAACATTTCCTTGAGTTTAGGGAAGCAATATCGGTCGATCATGACTGAATATGCCACTTAATACTCATTAGTTGGCAGTAATATTCATATATAATGACATTAAAAACTGGGTTCGTGGGGGGGCAAAGCAGAATTTGTTGGAAATCACGAATGAGCAACATTATCACCTTTGCACGTGCGAACTTTGAGGCAGACGTTGCGTGCGCATCCAATATGAATGCCGTAAATTTTTGCATGTAATTGTTTTATTGTTTTTTATATAGCTGAAAGCATAGCAAAGTTTCAAAGTATTTCAAGAAGAAACTGTAATCCAAACGGCACTTAAAGTTGACAGAAAAAATGACGAAAAAGCAATTTTCAGTGATTTTAGCGATTTCAATCAATTAGGGCGTGTCCACGTGTGCACTTTTCGATTTCAACTTAAATAGCCTATGACCAATTTATACCATTGGAAGCAGAACTGAGTCACACCAAGGATGGGCCACACCAGAGAATACTAAATCGCAAAATGACGTTTTTATAAAATCATTCTTCAAAAAGCACAGACTTCAATGCGAAAATCTTTTGAAGGAGCAAGCTGAAAAACTTTCCGGATAGATTTCTATCAGAATGTTGAAACAAATTATTAAGATAAAAATTCCCTCAGATTATGAATAAAATTACTCCATAATGGTTTAAAATAAATTTTAAAAGTTATTACTTTGTCAAACAACTAAGTTTTAAAAACGGTTAAATTGATGACGTATCTAGGGGTGTTTATGAGTCATATAATTTTTGTATACTTGTAAACTAATGTATAAACAATTATTTGCAAGACCTGTGGTTCGGAAATGGCTGTATCTTTTATATTTTGAATCTATGGACAAATAAATACAGGCTACAATTGGACTGGCATGGTTATCCTGAATACATTAGCTGGCAAGCTTGACCGTGCTCTTATATCAATGCTTGCACGCATTACCGTTGCCCTTTATTCACCCACATATGTACCCCCTATACTATTATATCCCTTTATTGTTGTCCTGGCATTAAGACTCATCGAAGTAGTACAGCGGTATATTTAAGTAAAAACATTGAATTCAAATGTAAAAGATGACGGAATAAGAAATAGTTTGTGGAGGTTTTTAAGAAATTTTGTGCAAATTACGCGCCAGCATGTTATACGAAATTAGTTAAAAAACCCAAAAATGCCATATTCATGTGCCTTAAAAAACCCATGTAAATATTGAGTTAGTGATCTGAAACTTTGCAGGGCGTCTAGACCTCGACCAATCGACTGTAAAAAAAGTTTCATGTTTCAGGAGTATCGGGAAAGTGGTTTTCTGGAACCCTGTTTTACAACAGATTGTCGTGAAGGACTATATATATATGTATGTATAGGCGCTTTGGCAGTCAAATGTAGATACTTTTAAGTGTCCGTAGGATTCGAAGTATAAAAGATCAGTCATTTCGAACCACAGGTTTTAAAGATAATTCATGTTTATACTTAAGTTTACCTTATATCGATAAATTAATTTATCGTCACATCATCACTTGATGAGTCATCAAGTAAGTGTTCTAAACTTGATTTTTGACAAATAACAACTTCACATCGATTTTACACCCATTAAAAAGTAATTTTATTCAAATCTGAGGACCTTTTCATCTAGATAATTGTTCACGATTCTAAAAATCTACGGAAAAGTTTCCTACCCTTTACACCTTCATAAAGATATTCGCTATTGAAGTTAGTGCTTTTTTGAAGAATTAATTTTATAAAAACACAAACAGTTGTGAATTTAGTATTCTTGGTGTTGGCCATTCCCTTGGGGTTGTGGGAGTCAATTTTGCTTCTTAAAGGTCTAAATTGTGGTTAGGCTAGTTTTAAATTGAAAATCGAAAAGTTGCACACGTGGGACACGTCCAAATTGATTTAAAACTAGCTTATATCACTGAAAATTGTTATTTACATGAATTTTATCAACTTGGTGTCCGTTGTGATTCAAGTTCTTTTTGAAATCTTTTGCAAACTTTAGCATGCTTATAAACTATATATTAAATACCCACTATGCAAAAATTTACGGTGATTCAGTATTGTATGCGCCGCAAACGCGCACACAGTTTGCACGTGGCGAAAGGTGTGAATTTTGCGCATTCGTGATTTCGAATATATTCTGCTTTCCCCGATATTTAAATGGCATTATATATGAATTAAATGCCAACTTGAATTGAGTTAAAAGTGCCATATTTCAGTCTGTTATCGCCTAATTACCTACCTTAAACACAAGGAAATGTTTTCAAATGTAAAATTCGAAAAATCGTTGAAAATTGCCTCTTATTAAAGAAGTTTCGACTATGTAAATTATCTGACAATGACATATATTCAAATGAGATGATATTAGACCAAAACCCATAATCATGGGTTAGAGTGGAACCGCTGCAGTGTCTCTCTTTTCCAAACAAAAGGAAATGATATTAATTTGAGGAACCGTCCGCAAATGCAAATTGATTCGAGGATGAAATCGGTCGCTCGCTTTTTCCATTCAATAAGCTTTATTATAATTCGTATAAAGCTGTGAATGAATGGGAAAGCGAGCGGACCGATTTCATTCTCCGGTATCAATTTGCATTTGCGGACGGTTCCTCAAAATAATCTCATTTCCTTTGGTTTGGAAAAGAGAGTACATGGCAGCGGTGCACTCTACCCATGATTATGGGTTTTGGTCAAATATCATCTCTTTTTTGATTATAATGTCATTTTCTGGATAATTTACACTGTCGAAACTTCATTAATAAGGCGGCACTTTCAACACGATTCGAATTTCATTTGAAACATTTCCTTGTGTTTAGGTGGGTATAGCTGTCGATAAAACAGTCTGAATATGCACTTTTATCATTCAAGTTGGGGCATTTAATCATATATACTGCCATTTAAATATCGTGGGAAAGCAGGAATATATTCGAAATCACGAATGAGCAAAATTCTCACCTTTCGCACGTGCAAACTTTGAGCGGGGAGTTGCAGTGCGCATACAATATGAATCACCGTAAATTTTGCAATAGTGGTATTTTTAATATATAGTTTAAAATGCATGCAAAGTTTCAGAAGATTTCAAAAAGAACCTTGAATCACACGGGACTCAGTGATAAAAATCATGTAAATAACAATTTCAGTGATATAGGTATTTTAAATCCCATTTGGGACGTGTCCCACGGTGCAACTTTTCCAGATTTTCAATTTTAAATACAGCTATAACACAATTTAGACCTTTAAGAAGCAAAATTGAGCTCCACCAACCTAAGGGATGGTCCCACCACCACGAGCATATAATTCACAACTTTTGTGTTTTGATAAAATTATCTTCAAAAAGCCACTTAACTTCAATAGCGAATATCTTTATGAAGGAGTAAGGTAGGAAACTTTTCCGGTAGCTTATTGAATGCTGAACATTATCTAAGAGAAAATGTCCTCAGATTTGAATAAAAAGACTTTTTAATGTGTAAAAATCGTTTGAAAGAGTTATTTGTCAAAATCAAGTTTAGAAACACTTTAATTGATGACGTCATCAAGTGATGATGATGACGTAATTATTTTTCGATATAAGGTAAACTAAAGTATATAACAATATCTTTAAATCCTGTGTGTTCGAATGGACTGTTCTTTTCTACTTTCGAAATCTACGGACACTTAAATGTAGGCTACAATGACTGCCAAAGCGTCTATACATCAATATATATATACCTACACGAACAATTGTTGTAAAAACAGGGGTTCCAGATAACTCACTTCCCGATACTCCTGAAACATGAAAATTTTTTACAGTCGATTTGGACGAGGTCTAGACGCCCTGCAAGTTTCAGATCTCTAACTCAATTTTAACATGTTTTTAAGGCACCTGAATATGGCGATTTTGGGTTTTTTAATTATTTGTTAACATGCTGGCGCGTATCGTATTTTGCACAAATTTCTTAAAAACCTCCACATAATATTTCATATTCCTGTCATCTTTTACATTTAATTAGAAGTTTTTTACTTAAATATACCTGTGAAGCTAGCTTCGAGAGTCTTAATGCCCTGGAAGAAAACAATAAAGGGGATATAATAGTATAGGGGTACAATAGTGTTGAGACTATAAGGGCAACGGTTTAAATGCTTTCCAGCATTGTGTTTGATATAAGCGGCACGGTATGCTTGCCAGCATTGTGAATTCTGGGATAGACGCTTTGCCAGTCAATTCGTAGCCTGTATTTAATTGTCCATAGTTAAAAGTATAAAAAGTACAGCATTTCCGACCACAGGGTCTTGCAAATAACTTGTTTAACTTTAGTTTACAATGTATACAAAAATTATTATGACGTCATAAAACCCTGATGACGTCATCAATTTAACGTTTTTAAACTGGTTTTTTGACCAAGTAATAACTTTTAAAATTAATTTTAAACCATTTAAGGAAGTTATTTATTCAAAATTGAGGGAATTTTTATCTTAGATAATTGTTTCAAGCATTCTGACAAATTACCGGAAAGTTTTTCTAGCGTGCTCCTTCATAAGAGATTCCGTCATTAGAAGTTAGTTGCTTTTTTTGAAGAATTATTTTATAAAAAACGTTTTTTTTTCAATTTTGCGATTTTAGTATTCTCTGGTGTGTTGGGCCATGCCTTGGTTGTGAAGCTCTGTTCTGCTTCCTATAGTATAATTTGTGTCTTAGGCTAGTTTTAAAGTGAAAATCGAAAAAGTTGCACCGTTGGGGAACGCCCAAATTGCTAGAAATCGCTAAAATCACTAAAATTGCTGTTTTGTCATTTTTGTCATACTTTAGAGTGCCGTTGTGATAAGTTTTTCTTGAAATACTTTGAAACTTTGCATGCTTATCAAGGCTATTATATAAAAACCAATTACATGCAAAAATTTACGGCGATTCCAATATTGGATGCGCACGCAAACGTCTGTCAAGTTTGCACGGGACGGTGATAATTTTGTCATTCGGATTTCCAAACAAATTCTGCTTTGCCACGACAGTTTAATGTTCATTATATATGGAATTTAATGCCCACTTGAATGAGTATAAGTGCATATTCAGTCAGTGATCGACCGATTATGTTCCCTAAACACAAGGAAATGTTTTTAAAGGCTAGATTTCGAAATCGTTTTGAAACTTCCTCCTTATTTGATGAATGATACAGTTTATTTCGACTCTATAAAGTACCCTGGACATTATAAGCCAAAAGGTTGATATTTGACCAAAACCATAATCATGGGTAGCGTGGACCGCTGTCCGTGTCTCTCTTTCCCAAACAAAAGGAAATGATATTACTTTGATTTGACCGTTCTCAAATTGCAAAATGATACCGAGAATGATAATCGGTCGCTGCTTTTCCCCATTGATTTAAATTGTAATTTTTAGATTAAGAAAAACATACCCAAAAGGCAGCTGTACTCGGCAATGAAGATTCAATAAACTTCAGCTAATTCAATAAGTAATACTAATAACAAATAACTTGACATACGTTGCATGCCACTTTTCGCGGGATACGAACCTGTATCACAATAACTCCCACCCTTACCCGGAAATACTAGGGTATCGACCGAACGCAACCCAAAGAGATTTGTACGCCATTGATTTGATGTAATCAATCGAAACTTTATTACAATTCGTAGCCGTGAATGAATGGGAAAA